CTTTATGTTTTCACTTGAATCACCTTTTAAGCGGAATAATCAACATTTCCAGAATTAGAAAAATTTATTATTGAAATTATTTAAGATAGCTCTCTAGATTGGTAGAGTGACGGTTGATTGAAGAATGTAAAAGAATTCAAGCCACCGACCTCCTGGTTTACATTAAAATTTGGCATACATAATAAGTTTACAGAGTGAACGTGTCTATTTTTAATTTAATAACAATAGTAGTAGAGTTTTATTTCAGACAATATGTGAACATATAGTACAGAAGTTTTCAGCATATTTAGTTCTAAAATATTTCCTCTTCATACGGGATTTACATGTAAAGTAATAATCTGAAGTATACCATGTGACGCAGTGTTATTCCACATGAAAAGAGAACCAATTCTGTACATTTTTTCTTCATTTCCTTCAAGAGTTGCACAGCGTTTTGTGGAAAGGCAATTAAATGTGTGCGCGAGTCCATGTAGTGATCATTTGTTATAATTGCATGATTAAAACAATAAGAAATGCAGTTGAGTTTAAGCATTTTGATGGATGAAAGTTCTGGTAGCCCAGTGATTTAAACAGGCCGCCATACTAATAAATAACAAGTAAATAAATTAGTAGTGCGTCGGTGGCACAGCGGTAGAATGCTCACCAACCACGTATTTGGTTCGGGGCTCGATCCCCGGCCGACGCCTTCCTTTACCTCGTTAAGCTGGTAATAAGAACTGTAAAGAGGGAAAGTTGGGCATGAGGCTAGCATCCCCACGTCGTAAAAACAAACACCACTGCTACGGAAACTTCAAAGCTTTAGCTTGAGGCCATATATTCCCCTGGAAAAGTAAAGGAATAAAAAAATATTAGTAGTGATGGAAAAGATTTGTAAATATGTCCTCTCGGCACTAACTTCAAGATGTTGTCTAGAAAGACTATGAAAGTTTCACAGTTAAACCATCCAGCTCAGAGATTGCAATTTAACTGTACACAAGTTTTACACATATATTAAAATATATTAGTGTTTGAATTCTTTCATTCTAATGATGCTGGTCAGGAAATCAATTTTCTTAATTTTTCAAAATGTTCTGAATTATTCCATTATGCCGTTTAATAATCATTATTATTCCCTTAGGTTCCAAGTGGAACATAGGGCTTCAGTAGCACATCTTCATTTCACTCTGTTCTCTACAGTCTTTTTTATTTGCTTCTGCTATTGCCCATAATCTCTTATCTCCTCCTCCTCCTCACACAATTCGCTTCATGTCACCCTCGAAACCACACCCAACTCGTTGCTTCTCATTCATGTTTCACTCGAAGGGCCGGGAAGTAATGTAACTAAACGATCTCACCAGCGTGTGTCCAGTCCACCTCCATTCCCTTAAGCATATCATTTGGGCGGTAGGTTCTTGACTGGCTGGCTACCAGAGTTCCTCATTGCTTATCTTTCTGTACAGAGGGAAGGCGGGGGTTGACGAAAGTCTACAGCCTGTGGTTTAATAATAAATCTGTAAAAAGGTGTAAATTTATTGTATAAAGTAAGAATTCCGTCGGTTACTGTTTAATTATCCACTGGACCTCACTATACTCCAGCACAATCTCTACAGCTTATAAAATTATTTCTATAAATTCTTTAATGTGATCGTTCAATTATATGACTAAATAAAGTAGTATACAATAACTGACACAGGTTGGAGATATTTGATGGTTGGGAGCAGTCGGTAAGAAGTAGCAGTGGCAAGTATCCTAAACTGGTGACCGCATTACAGATTGACTGATGAAATTCATTCAGTGCCACTAAGAACTAGCCACTGGTTAGGCCTCAACAACCAGTCAGTATTGTTGGATATATTTGATAAAAGAATGCTAATTTCCCTATGCCTGTATCAATTATCTGACACTCCACTCTAACGAAAGCCTTATTTACCATAAGTATCCCGAAAGTCACTAAATATTTATATTTTTTTAACTGAATGACTTACTGAACTGGAGTTTCCAAATGCTTTAGTTGGTATAGAATTAAAATCATTTTAAGACTTAATATAGATAAACATCTACACAAAATGATAATCTGAGGGAGAAAGGTGAATTAATAAACGCATATGAAGTAGTTAAGTTAACGAGACAGTTTTATACATCTACGATTTATTGACAAATATATTCTGCCCACTGTTGTGAATTGTAAAATCTTTGAAAACTGGAGGTTAGGTCTGACCGCATATTCAGTTTGAACTGAAAAAAGGCCATACTACAGTTTGCTTCCTTCTTTTGTGATTGATACCTCCTTGTTAGTTATAAAAGAGAGGATTACGGGTTTCTTAAATCTGTACCTCTTTAATAACCGTTAAAATGAAATGAATCAATAGGTCTGTAAGAATTTGACTGATTTCAAGGTGCTTGTTTCCTCAAGTCTAGAACCTTTGGAAACTAATGAGTATTTGGTGGATTTTTGTTACAGCCTGCAAATTCCATGAAGAACAGAAATACAGCCTTAAAATTCAGCGTTACAATTCATTGGCTTTATGATGTTTTTTCTTAATCTTGACTGACTATATATATATATATATTATAAGTCTTTGTTTTCCTCTTATGTCACTTCGATGACGACTTCTTCAGTAATTTCATCTTATGACAGGTAAACATTTAAACTAGCTATCAACCCGTCATACATACTTCTGTTCATTTGGCGCTTTGTGTCATAGCTTGAAATCTTCAGCTGTATTCAGGATCAAAGCAAAGGAAGGTTCAAGGCGAGTGTCATAATTCAGTGTAATGGCTAAATGGTGCTTATTGTCAGATTTATTGTACAAACCACTAAAAATTTCCACACTGGATTAGAATATCTGTCTATTAGTCTCTGTTTATCAGTGACTTTCTAACCGACCTTGATCTAGGATGAAAAATGTTTCATACTGGCCAAAGCTAATAATTAACTGATTTTAAGGTTACAATGTGGAAGTCATAAAAAAATTTTCTTAATACTTAGAATTCACCGATTCATCCTTAATTAGGTATTATTTAACTTTACAAATCCAGTTTTCCTGTTAAATTGATGCCATATAGCTTAACAAAGTATTTACTAAATAAGAGTTTAAGTAAGCTACAGCTAAAGAACACATTACACTTTAGACGACAACCTGAATGTAGATATCGTTAGAATTGTGCTTTTCCTTAGATCAGTACTGCAACTGAATTCAGGACTTTCTAAAATAGCTCACTGAGGATATATGACTTTAGACACAATGAAATGATTTTTTAGTTGTGCTTATTTTTAATGAAGTTTCATCCTTAGAGAATAATTTACACTCACTTCTCTTTACTATTCGGTTGATAGAAATACTTATAGCCTTCGTTAAATCCTAACAGCTGACGAACATGTTTTTAGACTGAGGAGTTAGCAAAAGGTTAACTCAAATTTCAGATGGTATATGTTTCTCTGAAATGTTGTGTATGATTCTTATTAACAAGTTTTAAACCAGGGTAGCTTACATTATGAACGTACAGAATCTTGTATCATTTGGTTGACAGACTGCTTTTCTCAAATTTACTTTAACATCTGTGTCAATACTTAGGGTTTAAACAGTGTGGCATTATTATTATAATTGTTCGCTTGGGTTCTGAATAGAAAACAAGGTTTCAACAATATATCTCCGTTTCATCCTCTTCTCAGTTAATTCCATGAATGCCCTGTCACACGACCCCTTCCACATCACCCTTGGACACCTAACTCGTTGTTTCCCATTTGGGTTTCATTTAGTGGCCTGGTGCCTGACGTCTCCCCACAGTATGGCTGATGAGTTCTTGGTTGGTTAACTGTTTCTAATTAGATAACTCACTTCTGCATAAACGTCACTACAGTAGTGATTCCTAGAGGGATCGCAGGTGCTGGAGAGTCTAAAATTAAGACGAAACAGGTGTCCAGTTTAGAATAATAAAATGCTCATATATATATATTAATTGCTAAGCATTACAATTCATTTTCACTACTGCTATATGATCAGTTCACATAGAGGAGTTAATAGAGAAAGGAGAATAATAAAATTTGTGAATTTCATTTATCGTATCCCACTGATGAGATCCAGGAAGAATAAAATCTATATAGATGTAGACTAACTGTAAACACTTATTGTTAGAAAACTCTCGTTGAAATATCTTGTAGCTGGGATGCTCACTTAGATCAGGATTTATCACTTATCACAGTCTAATCCGTGCAAACACATAAATACATGATTAATCGCATGGAGGATTTCATCATGAGCTGACATCACTAGTGACTGGCCCTATTCAGGCAGTTAACCTGGGGTTCTAGTGGGAAGCCGTGACCAGTAGGGTACAGCAGGTTGAAGATGAGGCAGTAACTCATCTAAGAAGACATTGCGAAATGGTCGCGCTATGTCGTGAATTGGCAGAACTTAGAATTCAAGGACCATTGGATCGGGTCCCAGTGGCTCAATGGTCTACGAGCTCGCCTGACCCTGGGTTCGAATCCCGGTGGGCGCGTACTGACGAAGAGTCCCAAACTAGGACGAAACAGCTGTCCAGTACTCCCAGGTTTTCCAGTGGTTCTCTAACTGATGTCAGCTCATGATGGAATCCTCCATGCAATTAAACAAAATCCCTACAAAACCAATACTTGAACATAATTAATCCCATCAAACGCCGTACACTACAAGAACAATGTACTGATAGTTGTGCGATTTCTGAAATAACAAAAAGATTTATAGCTTAGGTGAGTGTTTTGGTGTTATAATTTGTGAGCTGAACGGTTTAATTGAGAAGCTTTCATTATCCTTCTAGATAATTTTAATGTTGAGTTAGTGGGGAAAGTGTTGTCTAAAAGGACAATTAAGGTTTCTCAAACAAACCATTCATTTTATAAAACGTAACAACGCTGAAAAATAGAGTGATTTCCTTGACTGTATCTTAAAACTTTTTATATGCATTTTATTGATAACAATAAAATAAGAGTATACTGTATGCTTTGAAAATAATTCTCTTGTATTTTACCTTTTAATTAGCATAACAGAATAAGTCGTCTATTAGAATATAGCAAATTATGCTGACTTTCTTGTCTACACGTGATCCATTAACATCCTTATTCTCATGATAATGATGATGATGATGAATGAAGAATTTAGAGTTTAAGTTCATTTCTTTCTTGAAGTTATGAGTAACAGCAATTGTATGCTCCCGAGTCTATCGAATAACCTTGTTGAAGGTCAAAAGAGTAATAATAATAATAACGATGACAGTAATGCATCTGATGAAGGTGATAATATTCCAGAAGATCAATCAATCAATAATAATCCATCTTATTCTCTTAATCATAATTTACAATATGACCAATGTGATTCTGTAGAAATTCTTGATTTAAGTCTACGTAAAATGAAAACATCTGATACTTCATCAATTGAAACACTATCCCATTCTTCTTCATCTTCTTCAATGACTGCTAAATATGAGATCAGTGAGTTTAAAATGTCACCGACAAGGTTGTTAAATGATTTATCTAAGTACAATGAAGATGATTTCGGTCAATTGCAAACTGACTTCATAGACAACTGTCAGTTATCTTCATCTCCTTGTTCATCTAACACAACTGCTAGTATCCCATCAGTATCCTTTAACACAGAAACCTCTAGAGAAGTAGTCGGTTCATTTAATGATCCTATAAATCTTACTACAGCTATGTTAAATTTGAATGCATTATTAAAAATCAACTATCAAAGGTTAAACGAAAAACGAGAACAAAATCAACCGATTAATTTAAAATTTTTATCAGATAGCAAATCGCATTTCATTAAAACAAGTATTGTATCTAGTCTTCCACATAACCTACATCGATCTCTTCCCATGACCAACATAATTCACTGTCAACAACAAAATACTAGTAATAATCAGTATCAATCTCATCAGCAACATAATTCAAATATATTACCCTCATCAGTTAAGCCAAATATCAAATTTCCTACTATTAATCCAACAAATCATATTCCTACATCAATGCCATTGACAATTAATTTCACTGCCTGGTATAACCAATTTCTACAGTCTTTATGCCAGTCGATTTTAAGGCAACAGCATCAACAACGTCAACGACAATCTGAACAGCATCATCGTCGATGTCATGATAACCTACAAGAGGATGAAGTACATCGAGAATTAAACGAAGAATACAAACTTAGACTAAATTCTCTTGATCTACACTGGGAAAGAATTAAGCCTTCCCAGAAGGTGAACAATATAAGTGACAACCACCTACATTCTCTTATGTGTGATGCTTCATGCGTATCGGAAGAACATAGTAAAATCCCAGGGAGCATATCGACCATAGGTAGGTATTCGATCAAGATATATTTATTACTCTTATTTTCATTTGTATTCATCCTAAAAAATTCGTTTACATAAGAACTGGGCCCAGTAAAATTACTGCATGTTACCTGTATTAATGATACAAACATGAAACTCATAAAACCTCCCTTCCAGGGTCCGAACCATCACTAGGATACCATCATATTTAACCATCAATCAAACTCGTAAGTTACTGAATGGTACTATTGAGTGAAATCTGCCAGTTCTTTTTGGCGTTTTTTTAAATTTTAGTTCTAATCCAGTATACACTTAGGATATATTTATTTCCAAATAAATCTAAGGTATAGTCACCTCATGAAACAGTGTAATAATCGTTGTTCTCCTGATTTTTAAACTACTCATAAGTAGCTAAACTGCTATTTCAGAAAATTTGCGACATCAATAATCTGGATATTTACTCATTATTAGCTGCACTATTACCAAAAATTAATCCACTTTGATAAATATTACTGCCTTTCTGGTTTGTTCAGCGTTTCAAGGCTTTTTGGACGAACAAATCTCTGTGACGACTGATCTTTAAATGCTGTGGTTAAACTTTGATTTCTAGCAGTCGCATTCTGAATTCTTATGAAGGACCTCTGGGAATAATTCATTCAGTGCGTCTAATCAAATACAAGATAAAAAAGGTGTTAGGAAGAAATTTAAGGTTTTAAAATTCTACTGTATTTATATGCAGACAATATGGCTATCTGGAATTTATCTTTATTTGTCATTCAGTGAGTCTCATTTGGCCAATAACAGTCATTTATTCTATTTGTTCCTGTGCACCTGAAATCATTTGCTAATTAACTGTAGGCTCATAACAATAAACTGTTAGTGAAAATGGTTAATCCCTATCTCAATAATCCATTTTATGAAACAGATGAGGTTATGACTTAATGTATAGACCAAATGCACACATATCAAGGTTTAGTCCTGTCGTAGGAATGACTCTAAATTTGATTTGTGAGGATTTCATTCATTTAAAGCTTAGTGTCACTACAAATAGACATTAGTGGGAAAAATACGCTTAGTTCATTAAGTCCGCCGTAAGAACAGACACACACTGACGATTGTGCATTTTAATGTCTCTGTATTGCAAACAGATATTTCAATTTATAATTCTGAATAGCCATAGCTCGAATGTAATGGCCGTCAAACTTTAGAACTACTAATTTCTCATGGTTTGTTGGTACATTCTTTTTTGTTTTTTCTCAAAAGGCTGGATATATTCTACCAGCAAATACCAGTGAAATTAAAATTCACATTTACCCATTTAGATATTAAGTCTAAAAATATAGATGGTGCAGAAAATATTCATGTGATGTTTTTTTAGTAAGAATATACACCAGCACAAAAGACTCTTACTAAAACTTCGCACAAAATTTGTACAGCTACACATTTTATTCGAGAAAATTATTAGAAAATGCTAACAATGATCAGGTGGTTGAAGGAAATCAACGACACAAATATTGAACTGTATGTCAGATGAATCAAGTGATAAATCGTAAAGATCAGTAAAGTAATCTTAGGTAATCTTACGGAAATGTGAACATTAAATAATGAATGAAATTCAAGTGTTGGTTTGCAGGGATTTGATTGGTTACAGGATTTTCATCATGAGCTGACACTAGTTAGAGAACCATTGGAAAACCTGGGAGTGCTGGACAGCTGTTTCGTCCTAGTTCGGGACTCTTCATCAGCACGCATCCACCGGGATTCGAACCCAGGACCCTCTGGCTTACAAGGCGAGCTGGTATACCATTATGCCACTGGGACCCGATCCAATGGTCCTCGAATTCTAACTTCTGCCAATTCACGATATAGCGCAACCGCTAGGCAATGTCTTCGGCGAGTATTTGTCGTCACACCCGACCTGCTGCACCCTACTGGTCACGACTTCCCACTGGAACCCCAGGTAACTACCTACCTGAATAGGGCTAGTCGTCAGTGAGCATCTCATTCATATTCAAGTATTGGTTTGTAGGGATTTGATTGGTTACAGGATTTTCATCATGAGCTGAGATTAGTTAGAGAACCATTGAAAAACCTGGGAGTACTGAATGAAATTCTAGAATACAATGGGTTGACTACTACTCATCGGTATGAGCAGTTGGGAAACTAACCACTCCAATTAAAAGCATATTAGCCAGCTTGATGGATTCAGGTGATTTAAACACTGTACTGCCGTTCTACTCATACTGTTCCATTGTAAACCAGATCACATATTGTGATCCAGGTATTTTTTGTTTGTTTCCCAAAGGAAACCATGGTGAATTTTCATCTTGAACTGTATACACTGCAAATAACTAATTACACTCTGAGTTCAGAATTAGTTACATGCGATAAAAGCGTGACATGAAGACAGAACTCATGAAAAACCGCTATACCACAGATTAAAAAGTTACTAAACTAATACTGTGGTGGTGTGATAATATGATCAAAACACTCTTAAATACGAAGTTTTAGATTTTTAATGGATAGTGTGGCGTCGGTGGCATAGCGGTTAGGACGCTCGCCGACCATACACATGGTCCGGGGTTCGATCACTGGTCGACGCACTCCTTTACCTCGCTAAGCAAGAAATAATGCTGGTGAAGAGGAAAGGCTGAGCATGAGGCAAGCCACTAGCTTGAAACCCTATGTTCCATTGGGGAACGTGAAGGAAAAAAAATACGAAGTTTTAGATTTTTTATGGATAGTGTGTGCTTCTATCGAAGAAATAAACTGAAAGTTATTTGGTTTAGCTTGACAGACTCAGGTCAGAGAAGCGATTCAGTTTAAACCATTCAAATTCTGGTTACTTGCTTGGATAAAGTGATAATACAAAGAGTTGAATTTGTCACTAGCAAGTAACACATTTGTAGGCGGAAATTGACGATACTTTCTTTTGTTCATCGAAAATGTCTTGATCATAATATGTGACATTCTTGATGCGATCAAGGAAGTAAGAATAACTGCGTGATGGTATATACTATTACTTGATGTAAGTAGTTCGGATGGTTTGAACTGGTTTGGTTTGTAGGGGACATAATAGAGAGCTCGGTAACAGAAGAAATATTTGAATAAAAATCCAAGTTAGTGAAATGATAGTGCAACAGTATATTATAAAAAATACAGTTAATGAGTTATATAAATTAATGATTACATGGTGATACAGTTAAAGTCTGCTGCTAAAAATTAATAATATAATCCACATTAGCGTTCATTGCTGGAGTCGTGTCTACTAGTAGAAGCTGTGCACCGGTTGTAGAATAGTTTTCCGATGAGAGGTTCCTGTAAAATCCAAAGGATACAACATGGTTAGTAGTGGGGTAAGTAGACAGTATGGATCAGTGAGAAGGGGAAGCGTCTAGCAGCACACTGTATTTTAAATTGTACTCCATAGTTATATATATATTTTACAATGAATCGTTTTAAACAGAAGTTGTGTACAATGTTTCCATTTTTAACCTCTAACAAAAAACTCTACAATCATATTGTTCCAGACTCCACAGGTTCTGTGAACTGAGTTTAAAAGGGTCTGTTGGTGAATGATGACCCTAGACGAGTAGAACACCTGTCCGGTGTTTAGATTACCTTCAGCTGGCTTGCCAACAATACTGCTTGACATAAGTGACTTCCAAATACTAGTATCAAACAGTACTATATACCCTTGTTCTATTTTGTTTGTTTTCTTAATTGTCATTTATGGTATCAAGCAAATAAAATATTGTGATCTATTTCCGAGGAAATCCCTAGTAAATCTTCACTGGTACCTGTAATTTGCAAATGATGAATTAGATGCTAAGCTTCATTTATGTAAGACTGCCCCTTATTTTACTCTGTATAATTTGTACTAGTGATCACAGTGACCGACTGAGTTTTCAACGTAGAACTTCGCATTAAAGCATACTAATAGAAGTAACCACACTAAATATGGAATCCAAAGGTAGGGACAGAAATCCCAAGGAACTATAATGAACAGGAATATACAGCAGAAAGAATAATTACATGGGAAAACATGAAAATTTACTGGGTCTGAATGATTGTAAAGAATGAATACATTTGCACCACTGAGAAAGATTTTGAGCCGTATTGCTGATAATCTCCAGCTACTAATTCTTAGCGTCTCCACGAAACCAACCAGTCAGTCTACATCTCCCTACATGGCTGCCTCGAACCATCAACAGTGAAATACTTCATCGATTGATGCCAGGTTTTATTTTGACCACCCCCAACTCTTTCTCAACCTAGTCTTAAGTCAGATAATGTTTTTCGACGACAAAGACTATGACTTGTGAAGTGCATTATATATCCTAGCCATCTCCATCGATTTGACTTCTCTTCCCATCTAAAGTTCAATGCCTAACCTCGATATTACTTACGTTATTCCACTTAATACGAGAGATAGAACCTGAACGTCAGTGTTCAAAGATAGCCAGCATCTTTAAGTCTTCTACTTTCAATAACCATGTCTCACAGCCATAAATAAGGACAAAGTGAACCAGGGGACAGTAAACACATCGATTAATCAGTAACGGGACATCACCTCTACTCCAGAGACGATGTAAGTTGGAAATGGTTCATTGGTAATTTTTTCTAAAGAGTAAATGATAAGACAAGCACATTTGCATTCTAAAATGATGTCACTCTATTCCACCACTTCTCATCAACTGCAAGCAACATCAGGTATGTCATGAATCTCTAAAATTTAGACCATTCATAGTTCATGAAAATGCATCAGGTGAAATATTGTAATCCTATTCATTTCATCCTTTAATTTAATTTATTCGATTATCCTCTATTTTTTCAGATAAATTATCTACTGATATTAGCAGTCCACATAAATGTACTATCCTTCCAAGTGGTTTGAAGATGACTCAACACTATAAAACAACTGATAACAAAATCGAGTCAAATTTATTGAATAAAACAAAATCATCCTATCCATCTTGTTCTTCATATTCATCACCTCTTAATTCACTGCATCGTCATCGAAATCATTCTTATCATCGTCATCAAAAATCGATCAGTAGTCATACTAATTATAAACTGATTCATAATAATCGTTGTATGGAAAGTGATGATACTGATCATAACGCTACTACTAGTGCTAATACTACTCCTACTCCTACTACTTCTACTGATAATAGTAACAACAATGATAATTTAACTTCATTATGTCGTTATCAATGTCCGCATTGTATGAAGGAATTTCCTCGCTCTGCTAATTTAAATCGACATTTACGTACACATACTGGTGAGAAGCCATATAGTTGTGAATATTGTCAAAGAGGTTTTAGTATATCATCAAATATGCAACGTCATATTAGAAATATTCATCAACGTGAACGTCCATTCGTTTGTACAATATGTACAAGAGCATTTGCTCAAAGAACAAATTTAGACAGACATAAACGACATCATTGGTCACAATTAACTAATTTACAACAAAATGTATAAACAACTTTAATTTCTGAAAAAAAGTAGAAGGAATAATCATTCACATTCCCTGTGTTTTTGTTTTTCATCAACCAAATATCAATATTATATACATGTATGCATAACATGTGACGATGTTGAACACTTGAACATTGAAATCAAAATATGTTTTTTTTTTAAAATTTTGCTTTCAATACAGTGTTGGTTTATTTTGTTTGCGTATTTCATGCAGTTGAGATAATTCAATCATAAAGAAAATTTATTGTTCATTTTTACTCGTTTTCTGTGTCACTAAGCTTCCTTGTTTATTAGTAGTAATTTTTAAATAAACTCGTCTGTATTCATATTCCATAACGTGAGATTATAAAGTAAATTTCAAAATTTAATTTGCTGAGTGATTTGACAACTTCAGATTGATTTTCTTGTGTTGTTCAGTGGGAATTTGACATCAGTTAGAGAAACACTGGAAACCAGAAAGTACTGTGGAGTTGTTTCGACCTAGTTAGGGAATTTTCATCAGTTCGCGCCCCATGAACCCACAGGGGACAGAAACCCGAACCTTCAGGTTACGATGTGAGCTCGTTGACCCTTCAGCCACTGGAACGGATCCAATGGCCCATGAATTATGATCAGTTGTGAGAACATTTGATAGCTGACTGATATTAACTTTTCTTACTCAACTCCCTTTAAGATACAAATGAGAAGTAGACGATACACTTCAAGGACTATGTCTAATTTATGAAAATCTGAAATTCTAGGGTTAATATTTCAAAGGGTCGAGTGTACCCGCATAAGATATCGAATCATAATCGATGTTATTTTGAAGTATTTAAAGCTACTCAAAGTCTCACTGCTGTGTCTCTGACAGTTGTTGACAGATATTTGATTTCATGGAAGCAGTCAAATATTGAATATTCTCTTTATTCACAGCTTTTAACTGTGCAGATTTCACAAGACTATGTTGATACGGTTAAATATAAAGGTCCTACCACTTTTCTATTCATTTTACACCTTGTGTCAAGAAAAGAATGTTAGGACAAAACTAACAAACCAGTTCTGTTATCAGAAAATAAATAAACGATTTTATTTTTTCACGGATCACGTCATTTAGAGAATCACTGAAAATGAGGTACTGCTGGATATCTGTCTCTTCTTTGTTTGGGACTGTACTGTGCACCCATGACCCACGATTATCCAACTATACCTTGAAACTAGAAGTTAATTGGTGGATGGTTACTAGCAGTGGAATTCAGGATACGCATTTCATCCTATTTGGGACTTGTCAGCTGGATGTACCAGCATTCTGTGGTGAGTGATGATGTTCCCACAAGAGGTGGCTCTCGTGACCCAAGTGGTCTAGTGGATAACGCTTTGGCGTTTGAAACTATGGTCACTGGGTTCAAGCCTCGGTGTGAATATCATCAGTAACTACGGGGTGCAGGTACATCCAGATGATGGGTCCCAAATAGGAAGAAGTGAGCATTCTGGATTCCACTGCTAGCCATGATCCACCAATTGACTTCAAGTTACATGATCAGACATCGTCGAAGCATCTGTACAAGCAGCCGAAATGTCAACCTGAGACCGAACACTTTGGTCCAATCAATCGATGGGAAAATCTAAAATTGAATTAAATATATCTTGAAACGAATCAATTCACTTCGAACCAATACTTAGAAAACTAGTTTTATTCCTGCAGTCTCCCATGGATTATTAACTACCTTATTGTTATCATTAATTTTCCTCAGTTATTTTACTGGAAAATGTTTGCACAAGGAGTGAATTTCTCGTCTTGTCTAAAAGAGTGAAACATTGCGTGATGTACAATGATATCAAAATAAAGCGACCATCATTATTATTATTTCAATAAGATCTACAATATTATGAAAGTAAAACGATACTAGACTAAACTAGAATTCATTTTCGAACGTTAGCAATCACCTGTCCCAAGGGCTTAGGCTTAACTTCCGCTCTTTTGCTACTTATTATCAACGTGTAGTAGTAATTCCAGGGGAAATTCATATTACCCCTGAGGTTTTATTAAGCATCAGTCAATTAAGAAGTTAAATACTTTACCAGGAATCTATTGTGATCACTAGTAACTTCTTGTAGCATTGTATGAAGTATGTGAATGGGTAATTTGATAGTAATTCATAGCCGATTACCACTGACCACCGTGGACAATGCCTTAGTACAACATGTATTGAATAACCCAATATCCGAACCTATCCAAGACTCGTCTTTGTTAGACCTGTAGTTAACTCATGATGTAGATGATACTAATAATATAGTTATTTACTCTTCTTTAGTTAGTCGTAACCCCAATACTATGTCGTTTAGCACTAATGCTTGTCATTTAGTCGAGATTCAACTCCAGACTCGTCTTCACATTCGTCATCCACATATTCAGATTCAGGTTTGTTGATTGAGGATAGAAGGCTTGAAGCCTGTGTTAATCCTAACCTAGTAAATTTCTGTGCTTGTCTAAGCCTCTCTTGAATGAATCAGTTGAGGTCGCTGACACCACTTCTTCTGGGAGTCGGTTCCAGGAGTTTATGCCTCAGTGTGACAACCAGTACTCCGCAGCAATATAGTTTCACCTTGACTTTTGAATTCTCCTGCTATGTCCTCTAAGGTGTTCCGACCTGATGGGAAGGAAAAGAGAGAATAGATCAGGTCCGTAGTCATTATTTAAAATTTTAAACATTGTGATTAAATCTTCTCTTTGCCTACGGTATGACAGGGAGAAGAGATATAAACTGTCTAGTCTTTCCTCGTATGATAAGTTAGTCATGCAGAGAATCATACGTGTTGCCTTCCTTTGGACCCTTTCTAGAATATGTGAGTCCCCTTATAAGACAAGGACTGGCTTCCTGGATACAGTTTTCTAGTCTTGACCTCTCCAGAGATGTATAGAAGGGAGTGAACATATCTCTGGCGATTCTAGTAAAGGCTATGCGAATTCCCCATAAAGATCTCAAACTACGTGCAGCCACCGCGCGAGTGTGCTGTGGTTTTTAAGTCGTGGCTAACTATGACACCTAAGTCCAAGTAAGTCTGAACTGATGGGAGTGTTATTCCCTCTAGTTCATAGGAGCTGATGCATGCATGTTCAATGCGCATGGTTTCACATTTTGCGACATTGATCGGAAGCATCCATTCTCTGGACCACTCTGACAGTTTGTTGAGGTCTCCATGCAACGTGAGAGTATCACTCTCGTCCTTCAGCTCTCTGCAAATTTTTAAGGCATTTGCGCATAGGGGAATCGGTGAGCAGAGATAACTCATTGATATACAAAATAAATAGGAGAGGTCCGAGTACCGTGTCTTGTGGCACTCCACTACGCACTGCTGTCCAGGAGGAGAGTTTCGAGTTGATCCTAACCCTCTGCCTCTTATCTATGAGGAATTCCCCAATCCAGTTTAGTAAGCTGCCTTTGATACCAAGACTTTCCAACTTCATGAGTAGTCTTTTGTGAGGAACTTTATCGAAGGCTTTACTGAAGTCTATGAAGACGACGTCGACGGGTCTTCTGTTGTCCCTTGATTTGACCCAGCTTTCTCTTGCAGTGAGATTTGACAGGTATGAGAGGGTCCCTCGGAAGCCATGCTGTGCTCTGGATAACCAGTTGTTATTTTCCAGATATGCCATGATACTTTTCTTGATGATTCTTTCCAGTGTCTTGATTAAAGTGCTGGTGAAACTGATAAGCTTGTAATTTGAAGGGTTTTGTCTTGATTCTCCTTTGTGGATGGGGATTACTATGGCATCTTTCCAGTCACGCGGTAACACTCCATTTAGGAGAGATAGCTTGAAGATAGTGGTCAAAGGGCCGGCTATGTGGGCTGACAGCTCCATTATGAAGCGCGAATCAACTGTTGATTGGTCAGTCAACACGGACTAGTTTATTGATTATAAACGGAATAAATTCGAAACTAAACTTGTAATAGTTACGTTTGAATTCATCCATTGGACTACTGCTAGTACGACAAGAAATAGTTCCACATGGACAAAAAATGTACAGATCCTCAAACTTTTCCAAGCTTATCAAAAGGTTACGAGGCCTCTTTATCTTCATTTGGTTGCACCATTTTCTACTGGAATACTGTGAAACCAGCCATCAGTGCAATGCTTAAACCTATCAATCAAGGAAAATTAGTGAATTACAGCTTTTTAAGGACTCAAAGCTCTACCCTGAAAAAGATTTTACTCTTATATGAAGAGTACTTAGAAAAGTGACGTTATCTCTACTCTACTGCTTTATGAGGACCTGATAAGCATGGCTGGAAGCAATTCGGTTAAGACTGGTTTTTATCACAATACTTTATCAAGTATTTTCTAATAATTGCAGTGCACGTTTATTAGTTCATAGGGATGTGGATATCGAAACGGAGCCTGCATATACCGACAAGGAAACTGTCTTAAAAGTGCTTCTAAAGTTTGGCCCTGACAAGTTCACAGATTGCCACGATGTCCACCTAAGCATATTATCGGTATTGGTTGAAATCATAGCTAAAATGTTTTCTGTACGGTTAGGTATGTTATTAAATAGTCTAGGCATCTGAGAGATTGGAAAGATGTTATCATCAAACATTTCTTTAAAAATGGACTTAGAAATCTGGTTAAGAAGTACAGTAATTGGATAAATCGAAAATAACTGTTTGCGCAGAATAAGATGGTACCGACCTTTATTTCGTCAAATTCTCATCTCCTGTATACAGTATAAAAAGTTATTTGGATTTATGCACAGTGAATTTTTAACGTACTCACAAAGGCGTCATGATGTCAGTTAACAAGAGACTTCAAATTTAATAAACAGTGTTTAGAAATTACACTTGTATAACTTATCAACGAAAGGTTCAAGTTTGAAAAAAACATTACCAAAATATAATAAATGTTTGAAGACAATCAAAAAGGATTTGCGCAATAAAGACAATAGGTGGATAAATGATAAGTGAACAATAGGTTATGTGAAAATTTTGTGAATTCAACTCAAATCACAGAAACAAAAGGAAAGCGACGTTGTATTATAGCGAAAGATAGAGAGTTTAAAGCCTAGGAATACGTAATCAATCAACAGTAACAGTACTGTAATCATTTTCACTGCATTTGATGGGCTCGTTTGAAATGATTCACTTCTATACAATATTCAATGTCAAGGGTCATGACAGACAAAATTACTAGTACAATAAGTTTGGACAAACAGAGAAAGGCTCACTTTTTATTTCACGGACTTTCATCAGCTGCTGACAGTCTGGAAATGACATAATTCGCTGTAAATACAAAATTATATAACATATTTCAAAAAATTATTTCAACTCAGAGGGCATCTTTGTAGTAAAAGAGATATAAACACAAGATAGTGAATAACCTGACAATCAGAACGTATTTATACACAATGTTACAGAAAGTTCGCAAGCAGAAGATGGGAGTGAAAAGAAACGGTTAGTGAAGATGAAATTGTCACATAAATACACAATTAAGACTAATAATGAGTTCAACAAAGTAGGTTTTATCCAAAATTTTGTGAAGCAACCAGACACACAAACAGAGTAGAGAATTCTAGTTACCAGGGTAGTACAAAATCAATCACAATATCTTCCTGCACACACAATACTTGGTCTAAATCTTTTGATAGCAGAGGTTTCTGAAAAGTGGAGTATCTATGGTTTCCTCTCTATATTGATTACTCTGAAAAGGTTGACTGATTTGGACTGAATTCCCCGTGCGATCAGGAACATGGCGATTGCACTTCCAAATACCTTCTTTACTTTACACATGAAGACTGTTGATGATACGGTTGGAAGATCTAGTAGATATTCTCCTACAAGTCCTTCCTATGCACTTACTACACCATGTGCAGTTGACATTAGCAGGATACTTATCTACTTCATACTGTATTAATGAGTATGTCGTACTAAGTTGAAGAATCAGTCTAGCAGTGGGAAGTAAGTGTTCCATTCAATGCAACTCTAATTCTCCTTTTGATTCTTGTTGATGCTTCTTGCCCTGTTTACTACAGGAAAATAAAAACTGCTTTCTTATCAACCGTTAAGGGTTTCGGTCTGGACGTCTCCTCCTTCCCACATTTCACTATGATCTTCCTGGGATATCCCCTCTCCATTAGATTCTTTTCAACAATCACAAATTCTTCATCAATCTTATTTTCTGAACACAACTCCCTCAATTTACTGAACAGCATTCTGACCAGACTCCGTTAGTAACCAACTGGTTGAAAATTGGGATAATTTAAGCATTGACCTGTCCACGATTCCTTTCCATAGATTGTTTATTCAAAGTTTCCATCGTTTCTTCGTCTCTTTTGCTAAGATCCAGGAAGAAGAGTATGTTGTTGCATTCATAATCCATTGTAAACTTGATGTCAGGACGACCTACAGTGAGTTTTTCAAACATGATTGAAGCACAGTCCATATTACTGCAAACAACAATCAGTATCAAGTCATTTGTACTACACAGAAAACAAAAGTATATAACTTGGTTCCCTTTATTATTATTATTATTATTATTATTATTATTATTATTATTGTATCCTTTAATTCCTACAGGAACATAGGGCTTCAGCCGTGCGTCTCCATTGCGTTCTGTTCTCTGCTAGAGTCTTCACCTGGCTCCATGTCTGCCCACACGTTTTCATCTCCTCTTCACATGACCTCCTCCAAGTCACCCTTGCACTGACGACCAACTCGCCGCTTCCCTTTCGGGTTCCACTCAAGGGCTTGTCTAGTGATGTCACTTGATGGTTTCCTCAGAGTATGGCCAATCCATCTCCATTTCTTCCTGCCTATTTGTTTCACAATCGGTTCCTGGTTGGTTCGCTCATTGCCAGAGATCTCTGTTGCTGATCTTTTCTGGCCGGCCATCTGATCTTGAGTATTGAGCGAAGACAACTGTTAATGAAGGTCTGTAGTTTGTTTGAGATGCTCTTTATGACGCGCTGGCAAGTCTCTGATCCGTATAGTAGCACTGACTTCACATTGGAGTTGAAAATCCGGATCTTATTTTTGATGCTGAGTGCTGTTGACCTCCACACAGACTTGAGAGTAGTGAAAGCTTGTCTTGCTTTTCCGATTCTTGCTTTGATATCCTCGTCAGTTCCGCCTGTAGTTGAAACGATGCTTCCCAGGTAGGTAAAGGAGGTTGTTTCTTTCAGGTTCCTCCCATTTATGCTGATTGTTGTCAGTTGTTGTTGTTGCTGTTGGTGGTGTTGCCCAGGAATTTTCATCACCTCTGTTTTATCTATGTTCACCTGAAGTCCTATCTTTGATGCTTCTTCTGCTAACTTGTTGCTTTTCGTTTGCATGTCTTCCAGTTTGTGGGAAATCAGACATATATCATCGGCGAAGTCCAGATCCTCCAAGTTTTTTGTGTGAGTCCATTTTATGCCTGTTTCCTCATTGCCCGCTGTTTGTCGCATTATCCAATCTACTGCAATCAAGAAAATCATTGGCGATAGTAGGCAGCCTTGTCTTACTCCTGTCCTCACTTCGAAGGGTTCCGTAAGTTTCCCGTTGTGGATTACTTGGCATGCAGCATTGTCGTATAGCTGTTGGATGAGATGTATAATTGTCGGTGGCACCCCGTAGTAGCGAAGTAGTTTCCAAAGCACCTCTCGATCGACGCTGTCAAAGGCCTTTTCAAAGTCGATGAAGTTGAGATAGAGAGGTGACTGCCATTCCAAGCTTTGTTCAATGATGATCCGTAATGTGGCGATCTGATCAATGCATGACTTGTTTCTCCTGAATCCAGCCTGTTCCGGTCGAAGTTTTTCATCCAGGGCATGTTTGATTCTCTCCAGGATGATGCGGCTTAGTATTTTGCTTGGGATGGACAGGAGCATAATTCCGCGCCAGTTCTTGCATTGACTTAGGTCTCCTTTCTTTGGTAGTTTGAATAAGTATCCTTTCTTCCAATCCTCGGGTACTTTGCCTTCTTTCCACACCTTCTCCAGTAGTGGCGTCATCAAGTCCGCTGTTGTCTCTGGGTCCGTTTTCAATGCTTCTGCTGGGATTCCATCTGGTCCTGCTGCTTTTCCAGCTTTTAGCATCTTGATTGCCTTCAGGACTTCTGATTTCGTCGGGGGGTTGGTGTTCACTGGTAGCTCTGTCTCCGTTGTTGGTATTGTTGGGCGCGTTGTAGGTGGTGGTCGATTTAGGAGTCTTTTGAAGTGTTCAGCCCAGTGTTTCCTTTGCTCCACTTCTTTGGTGAGTGACTTTCCATTGTCATCCTTCACCGGCTTAATTTGTGTCAAACTTTTGCCCGATAGGTACCTAGTTGTTTGGTAGAGTGTTGCGAGGTCTCCTTTGCCTGCAGCTTGTTCTGCCTCACTTGCCATGGTTTCATAGTACTTTCTTTTGTCTTCTCTGGCACTCTTCTTTACTCTTTTGTTCAGTGTCTTGTAGCTTGCATTCAAATCCTGTTTTTGTTGCTCATCGGTGCACTGGAGAATCTTTTGTTTCACCATCCCTCTCTCTTCTATTAGTTTCCAAGTGTCCGTAGTGAGCCATTGTTTGTCCTGTCTCTTCTTTCTGCCTAGAACTTCCATGCAGGTTTGACTCCATACTGTCTTCAAGTTGTTCCAGTGCTTTTCGACGCTGACCTCTTCGCCAGTGTTGATTTGTGTCTCGGCTTTGTCTTTTATACTTGCAGTGAAGATGTCCTTTGTGTCCTGGTCCTTCAGCTTTTGAGTGTTGAACTTGGCTTGTGGTCTATCTGCAGCTCCTGATTCTCTGAAAGCTTTTAATTTGATTTGGATTGTCCCTTGTACGAGATAGTGGTCTGAGCCAATGTCTGCTCCTCTTCTTACTTTTGTGTCCAGCAGGCTGCGCCTCCACTTCCTTGAGATTGAGATGAAGTCGATTTGGTTGTTGGTTCGCCCATCTGGTGACACCCATGTAGCCTTGTGGATATCCTTGTGTTTGTATACGCTGCCACCAATCACTAGTTCATTGAAGGCGCAGAAGTCGGCGAAGAGTTCTCCGTTTTCATTCATTTCTCCGAGAGCTTCTCTACCCATGATGAGTTCCCTTCCTGTGTTGTCTGATCCCAGTTTGGCGTTCATGTCTCCCATTAGTATTTTGATGTCACCAGCTGGAGTATTGTCCATTGTTGTCTGCAGTTGTCTGTAGAATTCTTCTTTCGTTTCGAGGTCTGCGTTGTTGGTCGGTGCATAGCATTGTATAATTGACACTTTCCTTCCTTTGGAGTTGAATCTGGCGGTTATTATCCTGGGCGAGATCGCCTCCCATTGCATTAGGGCCTTCGTTGCCGTTGGTGACATCATGATAGCCACGCCCTCGGTGTGCGAGTGGTTATCTTCTGGGTGACCGGAGTAGATCACTGACTCACCCGTTGACAATTTGGTGAGTCCATTCCCGTTCCATCTGCTTTCACATATTCCCAGTACTTGAATTCTGTATCTTTTCATTTCGTTTGCGATCTGGGCAGCTTTGCCAATCTCGTACATAGTACGGACATTCCATATCCCCACAAAGACTTTTTCTTTTGTCTCAAGGAGATACATCGTGCTGAAGTTTCTGTAGCAGGTTTGTTTACAGGGTGGGGTTGCTAGCCTCACGCCTGAGAAGGAGGGTTGTTACATCAATTTATAATTTAGAGAGAAGCGACCTTGTGGGTTGCTCCCCTTAAAAACCAGGAAAACAGGGAATAAAACAAGCAGAAAAACACCAGCACGGGAAAATAATTCACAACAAGAAGGGTAACAAGCGACAACAACAATAATAATATCACAGTCAATTACAGTTAACCAAAATGATACCAAAATCGTAGACTCACTGACTTGAGCCAACTTGAACATGTGAATCCGTCAATATATATACAATAATAATATCACAGTCAAATTCAGTTAACCAAAATGATACCAAAATCATAGACTCACTGACTTGAGCCAACTTGAACATGTAAATCCATCAATATATATAAAATTATAGATATTAGTTAGTGTTAATCAAGCACAGAGTGGTTCTGTTGATAAATTTCGATAAAGAAAGGAAGACGAAATTTGCAGTATAAAATGATATCATTCTATTTCACAGGTTCTCATCAGCTGCAGACTACCTGGAATTACAATGATTATATAGATGACAATAACATACTTTAATATTTGAGTGGTAGTAGAGAAGGGATACTATAAAATTGACGCATCCAAAATGAGAGCATTACAATTTTTAGTTTAAGTTTTCATCATCAATTTATACGCTTTTAAAGTTGAAAAGAGGGGGGAGGGGTAAGACAGAAAACAGAAAAAATTAATTAACAGAACAGTGTTAGCTTGTAGGTTCACATAGTAACTCAAAAAAAAACAAAAGCGGTTACAGTTTATGAGATTGAGATTTGTTCAGTGAGTTGAGATCACTGAATTAGATGACTAATTAATGTAATCAAAATCAAAATTCAGTTACCAAGGGAGTGAGAGGTTAATCACACTCTCTTTCTGTATGCATAAGTCTGGTTTAAATCGTTTGATTGAGATCGCTTCGGCAAATCGTAGTAAATTTGCTGTCCTTTGTCTATTTAATATTTTGAAGGACTTAGAAATCTCTACGAGGTGTCCGGTATCAACAATATGTCTGGTAATTGCACTCAGAGTGCAACAGAATGATATCATTTTATACTGCAAATTTCGTCTTCCTTTCTTTATCGAAAAGTATATAAGTGTGGAATATCATAGATTACTTTCTAGTGTAGTCAAAATAGTCTTATTTGTGATAAGGCGTGAGCAACACTTCATTCGCTATTAAGCCAATTCAACTGTATTACTGGTAACTGACTTACATAAAATGAAATGTAGTCAGTGGATGGGTCTGAAAGCTACTGAACAATGATCTCTGAATTAGATAATTTAAACTGTCCATAAAAATTTGTTTATTTACACAGAGGAGTAGAAAGCAAATCTCATAATTCCACTGGACATGGGTAACTTGTAGTTCAAGACAGAAATGTTAATAACTTGATGTTGACTGAATTTCATCATTGACAGTCTCTGTAACATAGTCATAACTTGGTGGAGAATTCTTCATTCCTATAGATAATGCATTTCGATATGCTTGAATAATAAGGATTCTCAGTAGTCCTTTCGTGATGACCTAAAATGTGAACGAATGACTATTTCTCATTCCTATTGGAACTCAATAGTATCGCGATAATTTTGTTGGTCAGGGAAACCATTTACATCAGTTGTGATTATCACCAGTCTCAGGTATTGAAGTGACAGTTTTCAGAAAGGCAGCAGCGGCTCTATGAGCAGTGTGATAGCTGAACACATGTCAGCACTGGTCACTCACTGTCAACAAACATGCTCATCCTTCAAAGTGATCTACAAAACGAAGAAGAACCTGTCAAAGAATATACGCTTTCGTCTCCTTCGCATTTCTAAAATTCTACACATTCAGATAGGAGAACCGGGTCTCCTCATACGAAGGAGGATATCTCAACCACTTCTACTATCGTGGTAACAACCTTGTTGTTTTCTACCAACTTGAGTTTGTTTCTTAACCCTTTATAACTCATGCATATCTTTCGAGCTCTTATGTAATTTCATACATTTGTTCCCCTTAATGAATTTGAACAATGCAACAACTACAGTTTTAGCAGAATAAAATGGTACCATATTTTACTTCGTCGCCTTCTCTTCAGCTGCTTACAAGGCAAAAACATTATTAAATGTATCTACCAAAACAATTTAACATACTTGCACAGAGTTCATTTTAAACAGAAATCAATCGATCAATATACACATACACTAATAATATATACATATATATATGCAATATTGAACACAATTCCGAGCAATAATAATCATACAAAATGAAAACTTTTCAGTATCTCGCATTAGGATGAAAATATCCAGTTACCACGGCAAAGAAAGACTGATAACTGCTTCTTTCTGAACGCACAAATCAGGTTTTAGGCGCTTGATGGAAAAGGCTTCAGCAAACTTAAGGAGCATTGAACTCTTTTGCTTATTGATAATTTTGAATGACTTTTCCACGTCTACCTCATGACCCGTGTCAAGAAGATGCCTGGCGATGGCACTGCTTAAAGCATTTGTTCCCTTTAGACGTAAGCTTTTTGGTACATGTTCAGAAAATCGTAGATATGCTCTTCTTTCTGTTCTTCCAATGTAACTGCTCCCGCAGATACATGTAAATTTGTATATACAGTTGGAGTTAACATGGGAAGGATATCTATCGATTTTTGACTGCACCAGAGAGCAAGTTGTTCGAAAGACGGGAACGAGCTTAGCTGCAGGATAGGCTATGGCTAGTGATGTACTCAGCCTTCTGTTGACCATCACTGAAATGTTTTCACCTTTATAATCAAGCTCAAAGTAGATTGGCTTTTTTCTTACTGTGATTTGTTTTTCATTTGCGACTGCAGATCTTCCATACTTGTAATTCCCCATTCTCCTTTTTTTCTATGTGCATCCTGAATACAACTCACTCATCTTATTACGTAACTCTGACACACTCATTCAACTCCTCTTATGCATAGACTAATATTAACAATCATGATTATGACAACTGATCACTTTTGTTACTAGCCTCTTTTGTGAAAAGTCGTACACAAATGAGACTGTACAGATAAAGAAACTGAATTCGACGAAAAGAGTCTCTTCCCCTAACTGCTTGTTTCACTCTCTTCATTATTGCCTAGATAGGGATTAACCATGAATGTGAAATTGTTTGCAGAAAATCTTACCAAGTGTTTTGTAGAATTACTAGTTACTCATTAGTGCGTTACCTATTTCGGCCTATTGTTTCTCATTTTCGATTTGTCGGTGCGAAATAGTAACTACACGGGACTTCATAACGTGAACCTGTGTACCAGATCGAGTTACAAACTTATACCACCGTTCAGAAGAGGTTTCGTGCATGTCAAAGGGATAATTCTTCACTGCATTATTTAGTGCTGTTTCAAATGAACTCAACACCCACCGTTGACAGCGTCACAGGGTATGTATATAAGAACAGATTATTTCACTTAACAACGTATTCTTCATACACTTATCATATACAGTTAGTGATTTCAACTACTTTATTCCCAACAATGATCGGAAATCCCGTATAAAATAAGTTTATTTGATATAACACTGTATCCCTGTACTTTATAACAAATGAAATTATTCCATATGGCATCATGAGGTTTTGACTTTCGAATTTAGGTATACGAAAGTACAGCATAACTGCAGGTGATGTCTGTTAGTCGAAGGTGAGAAGGACACAAAATATCGAAAATGAAAAGAAAATACCAACGACAACTGACATCACATTTAGGCTTGTTCAGGACATTCACCGCAGTCTCAAAATGTATGCACTAAATCTACGTAATCAGAGGAAAATAATCAACGACTTACTGTCTGCATTATCTCGGAAACATCAGCAAGGATGACAAAATTGTCTTTTTAGCAAAGTTATACTTTAAGCACCAAAGGAGTGCACCACACCAATGGCCTTAGAACACTCAGTCCGCAAGTTAGTGGAACCAGGTAAATAATCATGGATAAATTACGCTCAGTGAAGTTCTAGTTTAGGTTTGGGAATGATTAAGTTACGGCTTAGGCTAAGGACTGGTCAGAGTTAAGCTAACTTGATAAGGGGAATATCAGGGTTGGTCCGAGCTACATGACGGGTAGTTTAGGGACAGTTTCACATGAGGATTAGATTAAAGGAAGATAAGGTTAGGGTGAGAAGACCTTGATGAATACATGTGTGTAAAATGTGGTCTAGTTTTTCTATCGACACAGCAATGCGAAACTGGGAGGTATTTTCTTCGCACGTCAAAGAAAGCTATCCTGTATTTCGTGCCCTTTTATTGATAATTTTCACAAATGTATGTATTTTATACGCAAGACTCGCCTTTTCTATGTGATCGGTGCATTCAACGCCATCTGTGCGTCGCTACACTCTGGTGCTCATCGTTTGACTTCACCGACTATTTGGAGAAGTTTACGGACAGTGAGCGATTAAATCATACTTGACGCTTACCATAAGCAAGAGCTTAATGAAAAACACTCCCCTAACCTAATATAAACATAACCTCACGCCAATCTTGCTACTACCCAACCTTCCCAAGCTTACTAGAGTGCCTGGCGCCACTACGCAGTAGTGACCATATAGTTATAACTTTTACTTTTAGGATTCACGCTGTCACACATAGGTCAACAGCTGCTCGTCCAAACATTTGGAAAGCGAATATACCTGCAATCCGAAATGCAGCAACTCTAGCTGACTGCTCTGTTGATACACATCAGACTGTTGAGGAGGCTTGGATTGGATTTAGGAATACACTAGATTGCGTCACTGCACCCTTTGTACCTTGGTTGACGCCTCGAAAACTATCGCATAAACCACCTTGGATTAGTAACGAAATAAGCAGGTTATTAAGAAGACGAAAGAACTTATGGGACTTGTTTACTGTGACTGGGAGGCATGAGTTTCGGATGGAATACCGCAAAATTCTAAACCTTTGTAAGTATAAGATTGACAAAATTGGTATAGAGTATGACAGACAGTTAGTACTGGATTGTGTGCATAATCCAAAAAGACTGTATTCGTATATCAAACGCATGACTAAAACTAGCAGTGGTATACCGTCCCTCATTAGCAATACTGGAGAGGCTGCCGAGTCAGACGAAACAAAAGCTGAAAAGCTCTCAGAATACTTCTGTGACGTTTATTCGCCTAACCGTATCACTCAGGGGTGTAGCGAGGTCACTGTTGTAGCCACTAAAATGCCCACAATTGTGGTAGAGGATGCAGTGGTTCTCAAACTACTGTCTAATCTGAAGCCAGGTAAATCACCTGGCATGATATCTAACTGCCGGCCTGTAAGTCTGACCTGCATTATAGTAAAGGTATCAGAAACACTCATAAGGGATCAGCTCTTAGCTCATATGGAGAAACATGGCTTACTGGCAGTGGAACAGCATGGATTCCGACCATGACGATCCTGCCTGACAAACTTGCTGTTAGCTAGGGAAGATTGAGTCGAAGCCAGGGATAAGAACGATCTACTGGACGTTGTGTTTATCGATCTTAGTAAAGTATTCGATAAGGTATCCCATTTAGGTCTTTTTAGTAAACTCAAACGTTTTGGATTAGACCAACGCCTATGTGAGTGGTTTAGCGACTACCTGATGGATAGAAGGCAGAAGGTAAGGGTTAGTGGTGTACTGTCAGGGTGGAAAGCAGTACTAAGTGGAGTACCTCAGGGAACTGTACTCGGCCTCCTGCTATTCCTATTATACGTAAATGAACCGCCGAAAATACCTCATCTTCCTTATTATTTGCGAACGATATTAAGATATGGAAAACCGTGAATAATAACGATGATAGGTTGGTATTACAAAACGATCTAGATAAATTAGCTGAGTGGGCTAACCTCTGGAGTTTGGAAATCAATTCCAAGAAAAGCGCAGTAATGCACCTAGGTCAGAGGTCTTACACGTCGTACTCCCTGGGGGACACAGAACTGCCAGATGTTAAGGGACAAAAGGACTTAGGAATTATTGCAAGCCATGACTTAAAAACAACGTCAAATTGTAATGCAGCCGCAACTAAGGCTTTTTGAATGCTATGGGCACTTCGAAGGGCTTTCAAACGATTAGACGAGGGTATGTTCCAAGTACTCTATGCAACATATGTCAGACCTCATATAGAATACTGCATACAAGCGGTGAGTCCATGCTTCAAAAAGGAGGCATACATCCTGGAAAGAGTACAGAGGGTAGGAACCAAATTAGCTAGTGGTATCTCACACCTTCCTTATGATAAGAGGATGGAGCATTTAAATCTCTTCCCACTTTCATACCGAAGGAAGAGAGGCGACTTAATTTTAGCATACCGTATACTTAAGGGTGATTTAAGGAATGACCTTTCTAACCTTTTCTCCCCTTCTAGGATACATTTACGGGGTCACCACAAAAAGGTGCTCAAACCGAGGACGAATAAAATACGTGCAGAATTTAGATTCTCTCACAGAGTGGTCAACGACTGGAACTTCTTGCCTGATTCAGTAGTAACGGCTCCATCGCTGAACGCTTTCAAAGAGAAACTAGATCTCTGACGATATATATATATATATATATATATATATCGTAAGGATTAATACAGGCAACAAGAGCCTTCTATCCTTATAATCTGAATCTATAATAATGCTTGATTGACACTCGCTTATTGTGAACTAAGTCTAACATTCTATAATGAGTGAATTCAGAAATAGTTCTGAAATGTCTTGATTATCCGTATAGACTGGAACTCAGTGCTGGTTTTCAGCACGACTGGCACTAATTCAGCACTGTGTGCTTTTCCTAGGCATTTTCAGAAGTAGCTCAAAACCTACTGGGTTTGCTAATCAGCGTTGTTTTAGCCTTCTCAGTCCCAATTCAGCACTGACTGGCACTACTTCAGAACAAAAAAACCTAATTCAGTGCTTAGTAGCGATTTTTCAGCTTTATTTCAGCACTAAAGATGTTACTTCATTTGCAAATCCTACTTCTAAGGTTTCGTCGCATTAATTTGGCGTCCAGTACACATTTTAAAAACCACCAACGTTATCTCAGTACGTAGTGGGTTGAGGTTTGCTAGATAAATTATTCATTTGCCATAAAACGGCATTGTCGACGCGTTGGTTAGAATTATAATCAAACTATAGTTTAGAATTATTGTAAGCTTGAGTTAGCCTAATCCTAACCTATTCCTAGAATAAGCTTGGTCATATTCTTCCACTAGCCTAATACTACAGTAGTAGGCTAGTGTCAACAATTATCACATATCCTGTTTAGTATTTATACAACTCTTCTCATAATTTTCAACTAATATGGTGTCTTAAACAAGCCTAGGTTTCACTATCTTGCTCTGCTTGTGGCCTGCAACGACATTGGTGTGTTCGTCTCCCAATGTCACTACTTAACCTGGACAACATTATTCATCTCCCTACAAACAAAATCTTGAAAACACTAACTACAACACATGAGGTCAAGATGAGGTGAGTCTAGGTCTGAAAAATGTCTACCATCGAAGCGATAACACCTACTCCACATTACCCAACTCAAGGTTACACTTTGAACCAATCACAACTCTGCAAAACTCATTCTAACACAGTGTTCTCAAATCAGCATATTACAGTTTCTGGAGGCAATTTATGCAGAAACCAACTTTCCTGTTCTTCCATGAAGAAGTACACTGATAGCCTGAAATTTGTTTAAGCTCACCACTTGCTTTATTTACATTGGTTATAATTTGGCTCGAAATTCTGAGGAATTCGCTTATATACCCCAGTGATTGGGACATACCTAGACATCTGGTTCTGCCTACTTTTAGTGAGTCATGTCTGGGAGAGGTAAAGGCGGTAAGGGGCTCGGCAAGGGAGGAGCTAAGAGACATCGCAAAGTCCTGCGTGACAACATACAGGGTATCACGAAGCCAGCTATCCGACGTCTAGCTCGACGTGGTGGTGTGAAGCGTATTTCTGGACTTATATATGAAGAGACTCGTGGTGTTCTGAAAGTGTTCTTGGAGAATGTGATCCGTGATGCGGTTACTTATACTGAGCACGCGAAGCGGAAGACGGTGACGGCTATGGATGTTGTGTACGCTTTGAAACGTCAAGGCCGCACATTGTACGGCTTTGGTGGTTAATCCGTGAAATATGATACCTGTATCCTGCTGGGATATTCATGGCTGTTCTTAGAGCCAACACGTTTTGATGTACAGACTTGAGTTTCACTTCATTGTTTTGTCATTTATCAATGCTTGAACCATTGTAATGCTCCAGTTACTGGTATGTTTCATCATGAATAAAAGTCATATATATTCTCAAGTTGAGTTTGTTCATATACATTGGTTTTATTGGTGTCTCTACCCGTAATGTGGTATTCATGTTACTTTGTGTGTACTGTGGTTTTCGCATTAGCACAAGACGTTAGTTAAAGCTGATGAAGTGATGGCAACTGTATTAAGCATTATAGGATTTCAGAGTGTATCCATAGTGGTCCACTTAGAAGGGCTGAGAGCTATGAGGTAGTAATTGATGTATTTGTCGTGAAGTATGCCTGTAGGTTCTCTTTAGGTGGCGACTGTTTGACTATGATGAGGACTATTTGGGGTTTGGAGGGCTTGGTTCTTGAGACAGTGATAAGTGGCCTATGAATTAGGTAAGGTTGGATGCGTTCCTACTGTAGGACTCGTCGCGTAGTTAACGGTTGTGCATCATGTCGTGGAGTGCCTAACGCGAATGTTTTAAGCCTGTGACCGTGAGTGTTTGGAGGTGAACTTCGTTTGTGGTCTGCCTTATTATAACTTAACCATGTTGGCCAAGTACGTAGTGCACTGTGTGTGACGTCTAGGTTTCTTGCAGTATATACCTCTCAGTTTTTCTGTGCAAGTAAAACTATCTATTTAGCAGATGTTGAGTACCTATGGACAGTTTGTACACTAGTTTAAGAAAGATACTGACCTGTAATCGCCTTAATTCTTGTTAAGATGTGTATTTGCTCAAGCGTTTCACCGAAGTTTGAAGAGTAGTGTGAATGATAGTTTATTTTGCGTATGAGAGGTTTATCTAAATGAGAATTTGGTGCATTTTCTGGGTTCCATGATGTGTTGTGAAATTCATGTTGTTCTGCTTGAGTCAATTATGCGTTAAGTTGACATGTAGAATAGCAGGCAGTGGCAGTTCATCCATCCAAACTAAGTCGTTAACTTACTTCTGATGAGGCATTAGCGTTTATTCCATTTTTTTTCCTCACCATACACAGTCAGCCATAATTCGAGTGTATAGCCAGCTACACCTTCCAGTAGACGGTTAATCTGAACATATATTTCGATAAAATGATGCGATTCCGTATTGCCAGCCAGTAGTTGTTTCTCTCTGATAGGTACACTAAATACTTGAATCATCCTAGTTTGTTTATCCCTGTTTATGATCAGGGGTTGTATGGTGATTCACTCTAGGTCTTCACAGGCTATTCTGTTCATGTTGATACTCCTGTGATTATCATTGGCGATTTTTCTTGAAAACTTAGTAATCCGATCTGGTTCTTTGATGTGTTTACCAGCGTATAGTGAATATCTACCGTTGTACATTAGGAGGAAAGCAGGCCTTCTTGCGAACTCCAACAGTAGCTGGTAGCAGTATAGTCGATTAGGTTATTCAGTCTGGCTGTCGACATGTCATTCAGTGATTTTTTGTTGTTGTTTCAAATTAGTGATAACTAGGAATAATTGTTTACCTGATCACATTTGCTTCGAGTGATTCACTGGAGTGTAATTTAAAGGTACACCTTTAGTTTATCCACCTTAATTATACTGGCTACTCTTGCTTTGTAGTGACTACAACTGATGAGTGGTTGACTTCTTACATTAGACCAGTAAGCCTTATATTACTCGACATTGAGCTTATGGGTGTGTAGTCAGAGACGGGAAAACAGGTCAGCCTAACTGATGTCCCTTAATTTCAGCTGTTTTTTAACTTGATATTCTACTGTCAACTGCTATCCACTCACATAATGCTTTTCCTACCAAAGGAATCCGTGCTATGCGTATACCTGAATGAAGTAAAAACAAAAGCTGGCTGTTGAATCTTCTGCTATTCGAGTTGTGATATACCTAGTCTTGCTTATAATTGTTACATGTTTCCGAGTTGAACATAGCACTTTGGTGACTGACCTCCATTTCACCTGGTGTCATTTTCATCTGGCTCCACGATTGTTCACAATCCTTCATTTCTTCTTCACACGATCTCATCCATATCACTCTCAGACACTCAGACCGTCGCTACCTATTCGGGTTCCACCTGATGGACTTCTTGGCATGTGATGTGTCTTAATGTCTTCCCCAGCGAATGTCCAATGAATTTTCATTTTGGGGCAATAGATTCTTGGTTGGTTCGTTGCACTGCCAAGGCGCCTTGATGTCTGTCCTTCCTGGTTGTTTATCTAATCTTCAGTATCGTGCAAAGACAGTTGTTGATGAAGGTGTGTTGGAAATGCTTTTGGTGATGCTGTGCGTCAAGTTTCTGAAGCATGTAGAAACAGTGACTTGACATTAGTGTTGAGAATTTGGGACGTGTTCCCTCGAGCTTATTGGTGTATATCTCCGAATTGATTTCAGGGTAATTAAGGTCTGACTAGCTTTCTGTATCCTGGTAGGCTTCGACGTCTTCATGCGTGGTACTTGCAGTTGAAACGATACTGGCTAGCCATGTAAATGAGGGGGACAACTTCCTATAGATTTTGAATAAAGCAAGAACAATAGTTTGTGCAGAATAAGATGGTACCGTAATTTATTTCGTTGGCTTCTCATCAGATGGTACAGTCTTATTCTGCACGAACTGTTGTTCTTGCTTTATTCAGATTCACAAAGGGGAATAAATGTATGCAGTTTCTGAAAAATCGCCCCCCCCCGCAGAATCCTTTAGATTTCTTGTATTGATGGTGAATGTTGTTGGTGGGGTATCTTCATCATCTCTGCTATCTGTATATTCGTTCGAAGGTCTATCTTTGCTGCAACTTCTGCCGACTTGTAGGTCTTCTAGTCTGTGTAGCATTAGCCATTTCATCCCGGAAATCCACAACATTTGCTCGTCTTCTCTCCCATGATCTAGTCCGCAACAATTATGAAGATCATTGGTGATAGCCGACAGCCTGATTTTACTCGTCTTCTCTTCGAACACTTCGGTGAGTGTTGGGTTGTAATTGTCATATCGTCGAATGGCTGTAGGGAGAAGTTTATAAACGTTTCCAGCACTGCTTCCCGTAGTCCAAATTACTTCACGGTCAACGCTGTCCTAGGTCATTCCGGACTCTGTCTGGGCACGATGCGTATTGTTGCACACCAGTTGCATTTGCTTAAGTTGCTCTTCTTCAGCAGTTTGACTAGTCAGCCTTTTTTCCATTTGGTGGCTACCTTGCCTTCCTTCCACACTTCTCTCCTTTGTTCAGTGCGTTGTAGGTTGTACTCAGCCTCTCCTTTCGATATTCATCTCTACACTGGTTCGTCGTCTGCCTTACCACCGTTCTATTATCTATCAGCTCCCATGTGTACTTGGAGAAACGTTCATTGTTCTACCTCTACCTATTGCTTAAAGAATCTATGCAGGCTTCTTTCGATTTCGCTTTTAGAGAGTTCCAGTGTTTCTCCACACAGGTGTCCTCTATGGTGTTGCTTAATGTCTCCTACTTTTCTTCGATGACTTTTGTGAAGATGTCGTTTGTTGCTTCTTCATTCAGCTTCTGAGTGTCGAAGTTTAAGTGCGGTCTCTTCCCAACTCTTTTGGAGCTTTTCAACTTGATCTTGATGGCTTACTACACAAGATAATGGTTTGAGCCTACAACTGCTCAACGTTTTTGAGTCCAGTAGTCCACGTCTGCACTTTCTTAAGAATGAGATGAAGTCTATTTGATTTTTGTTGTGTCCATCTGATGAAACTCAAGTCGCCTTGTGCATATCCTTGTTCTTGAACACACTATCTTCAGTCACCAAATCATTAAATATGTAGAAGTCTGCAAAACGTTCTCATCCATTTTACCGAGAGCTTCTCTATCCATATAAGTTCTTTCCCTGTGTTGTTTTCGACGAGCATTCATATCATCCATTAGAATTTCGATGTCGCCATTTGGCTCGGGTATTTTCCATTACTGCTTTCAGCTGTTTGTGAAAGTTCTCCACTGTATCTGCGTTGTTCGTAGGTGCGTAGCATTGTATAATCGCATCTCTCCTTCCTTTTGAGTTGAATCTCATTGTCATGATCCTGCAGGACATTAGTTCCCACCGCATGAGAGCTTATTCAGTCTTCGTACTGTATTCGAATAAAATGAAGTTGATGAGAGCGCCCTGATCCTACATGTGTGCTTTAAGAACAACAAATATATCTGTCACGAAATGCTACCATTCTGGCTAGTAAGACATAATGACCGACCTAGAATGTAGTATGAACACCACAAGCCCTGATATGCACTTTGGGATATAACCTAAGTAGGTTGGATATATTGTTCTATGAATTCCATTCCTTGATGAGAGTTGTGAAGCACGAAGTAGAAATAGGATGAATCTACTGGATGAAAACCTAGGAACTAATTGGGAAGGTACTGACCAGAATAGATAAGATAGGTAGGTGGGTACAGTTGATTCTTTTAGCTTGTTCACGCTTTGGTGGCTGACGCCAATTTTGTTGAATGTGAGAAAGAGACGAGATCATTTTCGCCTGACTTTAGAATGTAAGTGATATCTGCTTGAATTCAATCACAAGTAGTCTGATCTAAAGTGTTGCACTTTGTGAGATTTCGTGAGTAAGAGAAAAAACATTTGGTAACTGATTAAAGTACGAGAAATCGGAATATGAGATTGTTGGAGTCAACCTTTGCCAACCCACTTCTCATAGTCGGGAGGTTACATGGTTGATTTTCCCATTGTTCTACGGAATCATCTTGCTTCCTTCATATCCTTAACAATAGTACGATTATCTACTCAGAAACCTAACACAGTGTAGTATGAAGATAACTTCTTGTCTCGCTTCTATTGCGTCAACCTTTGTGGTATGATGTGATCTTCAGGAACAGTCCCTTTGGTTAGTGTATCTTGTCAGGTCGTGGTAATATGCAAGCCCGATCAATATTTTAAGGTGTTATCTGTCACTCGTGCACAAATATTATTTGTTTATGTAATGTTTCATACTTCAAGGAATAAATCTGGTATATCTTAAAATGCTTCTATGTAGGCTCATGATGACTTCCATTAATGCATAAGGAGCATAGTTACCGATTATTATTATTATTATTATTATTTACATAAAATTTACTGATACCTGAAGTTGTATTTTAC